ATGTACGGTACAGCAGAAACCAAGGCTATGGGATTTCTTAAGCCAGCTTTGTTTCCGGCTCCTTTAAGCTGCTGAACTGTGAAAAGCCCCACGTTTGGACTTCAGAAAGATGAAGGACAACATTCCACAACTAGAATCCCGCCTAAGTCCACCCTCGCAACCACACTGCACAATATGGAAGATGGGCCCGGCAGAAAAACACAACACCTACCAGCACTTCAAAGGGAGCGTTGGGCACAAAATAACGCTTGGCTTTGCCCAGGTCCACTGAATACGGAGATGATACAAATTTCACCGTGAGCTCCTGCTCCTCCAGCTCACCACCTAGGAGAACGAGGAAAGGGTCAACCACGCACCTCATAAAGACGTTTTAAGGAGATGCTTAGATGAGAAGATGCCCTTTTCAAGCAGGGATGATGAATCAGCAGCATCTGTTTGCTTGCTTCCCTCATCAGGGTTCAGGCTGGCTGGTTTCACACATGGGGACTTCAACTCAATTTGAGGAACAAGCCGAGATTGATTGAGTTTACGTGGCAGGCTCAGCTACTCTGGTTTATAAATTGCAGTGGCCAAGTTCATACCACGCTCTCAGCTGTCAACCAAACAATCACATTATGGTTTAGCAGAGTGCGTGAATCCGGCCTAACAGCAGGGTAAAATGAGGCGGGGTAGTCCATGGGCCAGTGCGTGTGGATCCAGCCGTTGTGTGAAAGAGGTGACAGCTTTACTTAAGCATGAAGGCTTCTGAATCAAGCTTTTATTGCACAGTGGCCTTGCCCCGTTAACAGATTTTATAAAGAGTCTAGAGACTGTATTGGAGTGTTTCTCAACCTTAGCAACTTTAAGAGAGAACCTTAGCAACATGGCTGGCTGGGGAATTCTGGGAGTTGAAGTCCACACATCTTGAAGTTGCTAAGGTTGAAAAACACTGATTTAGAGGGAGAAAACAAAGATGTGCATGGTGCAAGATATCTTTGGGGTGAACTGGGCTAGTAATTTCAGCATGATGGAAGGTCCTAAGTGAGCTACCAAGCTGAGGCCTCAACTCTTGATACCTCTAGTCTCAGATCATCCTAACCAGGCTTCTTTCTTTCCTGACTGCAAAGACATCTCTTTCTTTCGCCAAGGGCTGCATGTGGTCTTTCGACAGCATGCAGGGAGTTTCTGCCAAGAAGCCTGAGATGAAGCCAGGATGAAAATTATATCTGATTTTATTTCATACATTTAACTGGAATGAAACACAACTAATATGGTTAATATGATTATTCTCCTGCTTTCTTAGCCATGCTCCATCGCATTGCAAATTACCAGATGGCAATGCTTTGAGAAGTCCTTGGAGGCCATGTGCCTCAGAGACTAATTCCTTCTCTGGAAGGCCTCCTCTACCTCTTTTCTTCAAGGCTGGTTGCTTGGGCTGACCGCCCTGGATGGTGAAAAAAGACCCTGGCATGGAAGAGGTTGCATCATTGGAGGGAAGGTACATTCTAGGCACTCACAGGCCAGATTCTTCAGATTCTGACTGAAGAGTTTGTAGGGGAGTAAAGCACCTGGCTGAACTTGTCTGGGCCTAGATAGTACTTGTATGGAGGTTCTCAGCCCCAGCCCCACTTGGTAGACCAGACCAGGAAATCAACTCCACAGGAAGGCTAAAACTACTGTTCTTGAGATTGGCTATAGGAACAGAATCTTGCAAGTCTAATTGTCCTCCCCCTTCTTATACTCCAGTGAATTAGGGAGGTCTCTGTCTGAGCCACTTCCGAATGTTATCTGGACATTCTGGACTTGAAACATGTTTTACCCTTTCTTGCCTTGGCAACAGAGCTTGCATACTTCTCTCAAGGACATCTTCCTTACTCCCTATAGGGGTTCTCCAGGGCTAGACTAGCAGTCAAAACACATCCTAGATGTAAGCTATGGCCAGTTCAGCACTGCAACCAAGAAAACGCCAAGGATGTATCCATGAAATCACGACTCAAAGGTGATGTTCCTTTTTTTCTTTTAAGCTCATGGGCCACCACTAATAATTTGTTGCTCTTGTTTAAGACCAGCCAGGACTTGAGGTCTAGAACTGAACTCTAAACCCAGTGTATCATCCACAATAAGTCTATACAGTATGTCCCACGTAATGAGGTTTAACAACTGACAAGCGAGTCTCTGGCCCTGTACGTAGATCAATTCTTGTCAGTAGCTGATGAAGCCATCGTGTTTCATTCTGCTACGCTGCTCTCCTTTCATTAAACAAAGGTGTCGAGATGGAATAATTTCTTTCTATTCCCTCTCTGACAGCTCAAGTAAATCGAGTAAACCCTGACAATACACTTCTACAAAGCCCCAAAGAATGAATTCACCTAATACCGCTTGACAGTATGAGTTCTCACAAGGGTTGGCTGAAAAGTAATATAAATTTCATACCAGGGAAGGAAGGTTCCCTCTTTCCCACCATCAAAGTCCTGAAAAGTATGAATGATTTCAGCTTGCTTGGAATATTAAACACCCGCTTCATACAGACATAGTCTTCTACCATCGGATGTGCTCAAGAGGTGCTGGGACTCCATAATTCCCAGTACATACCCAACCCATTTGGAAGGAACCAGATTGAAGAAAGCTGTTTAAATTTCCCAACTTACTTGCTGTCTCTATGACTGAGGCTGCGATGTAAAGGGATGTTCCCACAAGGTCTTGCAGGGGGTGCCCCACTTTCTCAATGAGAAGGCTGCGCTTCAAGATTAACGAAGCCTCACCCTCCGCAATCTGAAATAGGACAGATTAGGAAAGAATTAAGGGCTAACAAGCAGATCTGGTGTATGCATATTACCATAAATGCCATTCTCCTAAATCAGTGTTTCTCAACCTTGGCAGCTTTCAGATGTGTGGACTTCAACTCCCAGAATTCCCCCGCCAACAAACTTGCTGGGGGGTTCT